CTACCAAATCATAGAGATTTGATGAGGACATTGATGACGGGTGACAGGTAATCTTATCAATCGATAAAAACAGATAAGATACCATCTGCGCTACATTTTTATCACTTCTTACCGCTTTAATGCCGAGTATTAGAGGCTCAGTGTGTGAACCCTTTCCTTTGATGGCAACAGAATCAAGGTCCAATGAAGTGTTTGCTTTTAGATGCATGCAATGGTGTCGAGCGGGGGGGGGGGGGGGGTATATAGTGCGGCTGAAACGGGAAAATTGAGAAATTCACCAATCAAAAAAATTTTCGCAAAGCTGCCTGCTATGTGATGTGTGTTATGTGTGTTAGGAGGTGGCGGTCGTAATTGAAACAAAATAAGGAGGGAACCCAACAATTGGGAGTGGGAGCGTCCCATCGGTGGTCATTCGAGCTCTCCGTGTCCGTGCGACACAAACTTTTATATGTACAAGCAATGTGGAGTTCTCCTTTTCAGTGCCACCCATTACTCTGCAGTTATGCCTCTTCCGGTTGTTAAGAGCTCATCCGGACTAATTCAACTTTACCCATTCTGTTGTCGCAACTGCGGTCCTTAATGATATGGTGCAGCCTTCTCACCGTTGAAAGTCTGTAGTAAGCAAGGGGGACCAGATGTTGGTAGATAATGACTGATGTTGAGCTATTTTCAACTCATTTTCCTGCATTTCAATAAAAAATTGCTGTCATCATTTTGCACATTTAGCGCATCCTACCCCGCCCAAGGGAAGAGTGCCTGGCGAAGCCAGGTCGGCCCGGCGAAGCCGGGCCGTGAAACGGAAGGAGGAGCACCCGGCGGCAGCCGGGTGATCCGACTGGTTTCTTCATACCAAAGGTATTTAGCGCTCTGCTGAGGCTGAAACTGGGAAAAAGGAAAGATTTCCCTCAGGCCAGGCTCAGTCTTAGCAAAGCGCAGATGACCATAGTGTCCTACGTTAGCGCTGGCGCCAAGAATAAATATCATATTCGTAATCAGGATGTCAAATAACCCCCGTATACAAGTTTTCATCGATTTTGGTGATTCAGGGTATTTTGGCCCCGGCGCCTGTGGCGCGGCGCCAAAATACCCTAAATCACCAAAATCGATGAAAAGTTTTGGGCAAAGCGGGTGTGATATTCGTGTTCAGGAGGTCGAAGTACCACTGTAACCAAATTTCCATCCAAATCTGCCCCTCTAGAAAAAAATCAATAAAAAATCGGCTCGATTTCGGCAGACTGGGGTAGGAATAGTTCGATAGTACCAAAAACTACAATACAAGCTAGAAAACTATGAACGCGTTTATTTTTCACCAGCGGCTGGAAGCAGCTTGAATTTCCCGCGCGCGCAATTTTGAACTCAGGCACACTGTGTGCAATGACCCGATATTTCGAGAACCGTAATCTCTCCTGATCTATTATATACACTTCATTGCTGCTGCGACTGAACCACTCAAGCTGACTACTGCTGATCTCGAGTAGTGAGTTTTCTAGTATTTTCTGTCTGTTTTGCCCTGCATATTCCATCAGGCCGGCTGTCACATAGGTAAGTTCCCCACATTTTCTTGAATTTTTACTTGTGAATGTTCCACAACCTTCGCCTTTTTTCTTTATTTGTATGTTAGCCAAGGCCAATTTGAATCTCCTAGAGACTCAGTGCGGTTTAAATCCAGCTAAACTGTTTTTTCCCATTGTAGATTTAGCGGCGAGTCAAACTTGAGCGTGTCGAAAACATTTTGGCCATCATCATATTGTTATTTTGGGCAGCTTTTTTCTTTTTCCTTTCCCTTTTTTCCTTCTCCTCAAGTTTCTGTCATCCGCAGTTTTTT